ACTTATACTTTCCTTGATCCTATTTTGTATATGGTTGAATCACTTTTTCATTGTTACTATTAAGAGTTTTTAAATTGATTGTGAGTACTTTTCTGATGGTGCCTTAACTTAAAATTTAGTTTCTAGATTATTTTCCCCTTTCAAATTGCTACTCTTGGTGGCATTATGTGGGTAATTCAGGTACTCTTCGCAGTGCTTAGGGGGCCATGTGGTGCTGGGTGTTAATCCTGTGACTCCTGCATGCAAAACTCCCACTTCAGTCCTTTATGCTGTCCTTCTACCTCCCCAAAGCTCATTTTCTGACTGTAGAGATCTTAGCCCTTTTGTGTCTTTGAATCTCAAATATCTTCTTCCCTCCCTCCCTCCCTCCCTCCCTTCCACCCTCCCTCCCTCCCTTCCTCCCTCCCTCCCTCCCTCCCTCCCTCCCTCCCTCCCTCCCTTCCTTCCTTCCTTCCTCCCTCCCTTCTTCCTTCCTTCCTTCCTTCCTTCCTTCCTTCCTTCCTTCCTTCCTTCCTTCCTTCCTTCCTTCCTTCTCTTTAATTGCATGTAAAGATATTGTTTTATGCTCCTTTAAGAGAATAAGCTTTTATTTATTTATTTTATTTTATTTTTAAAAAAATTTTTATTAGTGACACAACATGAGGTACAGTTGTAGACTTACAAATTTTGTGCTTGTTTCAATTATACAATGATCAAATATCCATCCCTCCACCAGTGCCTATTTCCTACCACCATAGATCCCAGTATCCCTCCCACCCCTCATCCCCCCGCCCCCCATTCCACCCTGCCTCTGTGGCAGGGCATTCCCTTTTGTTCTCTCTCTCCTATTGGATGTTGTGGTCTGCAAAAGAGGCAATGGGTGGCAATCATGTTTGGTCTATAGTCTACTTTCAGCATGCTTCTCCCATCCTGGGAGGATCCTCCCAACACCCTTTATTTGGTGCTCCCTTCTCTATCTGAGTTCCCTTTTCTCCTAGCATGTGTGGCTGGCCTCCAAGCCTTGGAGTAAAATTCCTGGTACTAATCTCAGCCAGAGAATAAACTTTTAGACTCTATTACTAATCAGTTAAACAGAAGACTTCTTCAGAAATCTTCTTCAACTATTTAGTAGACTCAAAAGAACATCCAGTATGACACCAAGAATTCACTGCTGTGAATTCAATTCAATAATCAAATATTGAAATTATTTTAAATTTAGATGCTGTGATTTACAAAGTTGTTATAGTAGAGTGTCAAGAATACAATGTTCCCACCTCCAATCCCCCAACTCTATGACCCCATCCTTCCACCAATGACCCCAGTTTCCCTCTCATCCCTCACCCTGATTCCTTGACAGACATATTTTCAGTTTAATCTTTGTAGTCTGGGTCCCATGCCTTCAGTAGTGTTGGCTCTAGTGCTTTAGTTATATATAGGTAACTCATCTCTATACAGTAGGCGGACCTACTAGTATACTCTTACCTTATTGGTATTTAGCATTGTATCTCACCCATACTAAGCATTCAATACATGTTGGCTACAACAATTGTATTTAAATTTCTGGCTTTTTAAATGCTACTGTGAGTTAATAGTATGTATCATCATCTTCAGCTTTTCTCTGGAGTTTGACATCTGGTCTCATTTGAAATTATTGTTTTCTCAACTTGGCTCAGTTGGGGTGCTTCAGTATTTACAGAGTAGGCTGTAGTTGGGTATTCATATTTATCCATGGTGGGCCTCTTGATCCTAATTCCAAACAGTGTGGACTGCATGACCTTTAAAAAACTGATCGCAAGAGCTAGTCTATAGGGTCCACTCTGGCATAGAAGTATTACACCAGTAACTGATTCAAATGCATGTGGAGATGTTATTAGCTATCTCATGACCTTTCTGTCACCGGCTTTATTCACTAGTTTTCTGATGTAATTCTAGCAGAATTAAAATTTGGAAACTCAAAATTACACCCATCCAAATTTTATCTAGTTACTGAAGCCAGTTAACAAAGTACCTAGCATTATCAGTTATCTTCAAAGTTGTGTGTGGGAGGTCTTCTCTGTCTATACCTTAACCACTGGAGAGCTTTGAAAAATATAGAGATGCTCTGGTTATGCCAGAGTCTGGTTAAAAAAATTTTTGCCTGCAATCTTACTCTCCTTTAAGCCAGTAGGTTTTTGGACTCTATGATTAGTATTTTTAATTTTTATCACTTATTTATTTATTTTGGGTCACACCTGGCAATGCACAGGGGTTAGTCCTGCCTCTCCACTCAGGAATTACTCCTGGTGGTGCATGGGGGACCATATGGGAGACTGGAGATCGAACCTGGGTCCGCTGCATGCAAAGCAAATGCCCTACCTGCTGTACTGTTGATCTAGCCCTATTAGTGTTTTTTAAGACTTCTCAAATAATTTCTAGAATTTAGGGCCACTAAATGGCATGAGAAGAGATTTCAGACTCAGTACAGCTACCCAGTTTGATTAAATTCTCTCCCCAACAACCTGAGCCAGGCTTCCTTAATCCTCTTCTCATTTATTCTACATCCAAAAGTTAAACCAAGGGAACAAAAAGCATAGTGTTTAAGCAGAGTAATTTGAGTTCAAAATGTTCTCATATTTGCAATTTGATTTTGGAAAAATTGCTTAAATTTACTGAATTTCTGTTTTCCTTGGGGCTGGAGCGATAGCACAGCGGGTAGGGCGTTCGCCTTACACGCGGCCAACATGGCCGACCCGAGTTCGATTCCTCCGCCCCTCTCGGAGAGCCTGGCAAGCTACTGAGAGTATTCGATATGCCAGACACAGTAACAACAAAGTCTCCCATGGAGACATTACTGGGCCCGCTCGAGCAAATCTGTTTTCCTTCTTACAAATGGAATTGATAAAACTTCTTTGTAAGTGATAATTAAATTACTTATATGATTAGTACAATACCCAATACATAATATGATAACTATATTAGCTTCTTCCCCACCCTTCTTTCTTTAATTTCTTTATAGATAAAATAGTTTGGATGATGCCTAATTCCTAGATGAGTATCCAGTGAGTCTTTATCTCTACCTTCGGCAATGAGATTGTAGAATGGTCAGCATATCTGCTTTCCCCCAAATTTAGTTGTGTGTAAAGGGATGTTTTTGGCACATAGTTGGCAGGGAATAAATTGGGAGTTTCTTTCAGTATCATGTCTACATATTCTCATTTGGCTGTATTTCACACCTGACATGTCTATATAGTGACTGGCCAAGGTTAGGATGTGGTTTCTACTGTGGGAACAAGATTTTTTGATTGGGTAATGCCAACTCTTTTATGTAGACATCAATTTTTGTGCCCTTCACCACCATTCACTTGTTTCATCCACATGACTGCCCAGCTTACTTGCAACAGTGGTGGTAGCATTTTGCATTTATATTATGGCACTGTTTTGAAGTGAAACACTTCAAAGGAGTTTGGAGTCTTTCAATTACTACCTGGCTAATTAGTTTTTGTCAAGATAATGAAATACTGCTGCCTCTTGATCTTTTCCTAGAGAGTCACAGTGGAATTCATTCCAATATAGCTTGGTATCAGGATTCATGGCAGTGACCCAGGAAGGCATCTGTCTCGCTTCGTAGAGATACTACCTGCCTTTGCCTAGTTATTCAGCTCCAAAGGGAAATTCAGGCAAATGAGCAAGGCTCTCAAGCTTCTATTATACCTATCAGAACAGAAGGCTGCTGAGGGGAGGATTTCGGGGGGGCTTCTAATGTACAGACTCAAGGGAATTCCTTTGTTATATGAAGACAGAAGAATTGTCTCTGGGCAAAGTCACTCTAATGATGACAATATGTCCTCTGCTGTTTCCCCAATGCCTGGCAAAGTGTGACAGGAGATGGAGTGCAACTAAAGTGTAAAAAGCAAGAGTTTAAAAATCAGGGTGAGGTGTATTTGAATTTTGGCTTTATTACTCTCCATAGCAAGTATCAGAAAAGTTTTTCTCAAAATGGCAGTAAGAATAATACATTATTTATTAGTAACTAAATACAACTTTGTAGATTGGGTAATGTCAGTCACAATTACTCTACCTTGCCATTTTAGTCCAAAAAAATCATGGACAACACATAAATGAGTGATCATCACTGTGATTCAATAATGCTTTGTCTTGGGGCTGGAGCTATAGCACAGTGGGTAGGGCGTTTTCCTTGCACACAGCCAATCTAGGTTTGATACCCAGCATCTTATCTGGTCCCCCGAGCACCGCTAGGAGTAATTCCTGAGTGATTTCTCAGTATAAAGCTAGGAGTTAGCCCTGAGTTTCGCCGGGTATGATCCAAAAAGTGAAAACAAAACAAAACAAAAACAACAAAAAAACTTTGTCTTGAAAAACAGGCAGTGGGTCAGATTTAGTACAAGGCTGTTAACTTGCCCATCCTGAACTATAGGATTTTTTTTTTTTTTTGGCATCATACCCAGCGATGCACAGGGGTTACTCCTGTCTCTACATTCAGGAATTACTCCTGGCAGTGCTCAGGATGGGATATGGGATGCTGGGATGGGATATGGGATGCTGGGATGCTACATTCAGGAATTACTCCTGGCAGTGCTCAGGATGGGATATGGGATGCTGGGAATTGAACCCTGGGTTGGTTGCGTGTAAGGCAAACACCCCACCAGCTGTGCTATAGCACCTGTCCCTATAGGATTTTGTAGTAATAAGTTTCTTAAATTCTTGAAGCTTCTCTTGAGGACCAACAGAGATTATATATATATATATACATAGCCAGATAATGATCAGATGCTTGACCTACAATAAACAATAGAACATTAGTCACTATTATTTTATTAAAAATTATATGTTATATAATTTGTTATTGATTGCAAGTTATCGCTAGTTTTCAGAGATGTGAAATGTTATTAAAAAATCTTTGGCTTGATGAAATTTGGTAACAGACATAATTATCATTACCAGGATATATTTAGTATTTTTTATCTTGTTCTATCAATGTTTATTTAAAGCTTCTTATGTAATATTTCTGTTTTTATTGCCAGGGATACATGCCATGAACTCCTGGGGCATGTTCCACTACTTGCAGACCCTAAATTTGCCCAATTTTCACAAGAAATAGGCCTGGCATCCCTGGGAGCATCAGATGAAGATGTTCAGAAACTAGCCACAGTAAGTTAATTTTCAACTTCAAAAGCTATTCAATTTATGTCCATTTATAAGGTGAGAATTTTAGAGACTTGTGAAATGCAAGGCAAATGTTCTATGAAGGAAATAGTGATGCTACTTTTTTCTCATGTTGCAGTCTTTTACAGCACAGTGTATGTTCTTGACTGATTAACAACCTAATATTTGTATCTTTATCCTTCTCATTCTAGTGTGTGACTAGCTAATAAATAATTTAGGCTTGGATATCCTAAGGTATTTCTGACAACTACTCTGATGCAAACAGTCACAGATGGCATAATAAAGAAACAAGTTTAGTTGTATTCCAATAAAACTTTATTTATAAAAACTGATAGTAGACCAGATTTGCTCTGCCCGTTGTAACTTGTTGACTATCATTTTAGAACAATGTTTATGTACTAGTCATATTAATTACTAGTACATAGTAAAGGCAAGTAATTAATGGTAAAATTGGGGCTGTACTTTGGGAGCATCTCTTTGATTTAGTGGACGTGATTATGGTCAGACACAGTCTGAGTGAGCAATAAGAAGCTCAGACTAAATGAGAGGTACAAGTATAAACCCAGAAGAAGATGGAAGAGATGCTACAGCCTCCATGAGATCTTCTTAAAACAAGCACTACAAGAGGAAATGTGCACTATTGTAAATTGATCTAGCAAGCTTAGATCACTTCCTTTAGGCTCATTTCAAAGAGCCCAGGGTGAGAAGGAGCAGGGTCACCTTCAGAGACCAGTCCGTGATTCCAGATGAGCAAGACTGCTGCTGGGGAAAATGGGATCTCAAATTGCATATATCTGACACTGATGCACAATGGTGTAATATTAGACAAAGCAGGAATATCCTTCACTTCCAAGAAATAAATTTTCTTCTATGGTCCTTAAAACAGCTCTTTCAGTATATCATTTGTTTCAGTACATTATTTGATGTCTAGGGAATTGGAACCTGGAAATACTTCTATACTAAAAGAGAATAAACAGTGAAATGCCCTGAAGTTGGTGTTAGTGTAGAGACAGATTGGGAAGGGGGAAGTATGCTAGGGTGAGTGTCTTGTCTACGTCAGGGATCTGACTTTCAGTTCCCACTTAAGGCTGTCTGGTGGGAATGCAGGGCTGGTGTAGCCAGTCTACACCTGTCTTAAATATAGACAGTCTGAATTTCTAAGTCAATTTCTAAATTTCTAAGTGAATTTCTAAATCTCTGAATTTCTAAATGAAGTGAATGATTATAAATTCATAAAGATTTTCCACCATTCTGAATGATAAGATATTTGTAGACTGAAGTCTGGGTCTTGATTTCTAGTTTGGCCTCTGCTGTAGAGATTGTTTCTTATATTTATTGGCAATATACTACTGCTTACCAACCCTCAAGCTGACATCCTCCAGTACAAGTAATGAGAGATGGAGGGAAGGAGAGAAGAATGACAGAAATGAGGGGAGGAAGAAAAGAAGAAGGGAAGAGAGGAAAGGAGGAAGAGCAGCAGAAGCATCAGAAAGAGGAGAGGAGAGGGAGGAAGAGGAGGAGGAGGAAGAGGAGGAGGAGGAGGAGGAGGAGGAGGAGGAGGAAGTTGTACTGGCTTTTGTGACTTAATCATGTGCTATTCATGTTGGCTTATATTCATCAGAAGGGATTCACTCTAGCTCACACTCACTAGGAGGAAGACGGGAAGGGAATAATTAAATTCCATCTTTCAGAGAAAGGAATGTCAAAGTGTTTGTAGACATTTTAAAATCACCACTTGTTTCTCCCTCCCTCCCTCCCTCCCTCCCTCCCTCCCTCCCTCCCTCCCTCCCTCCCTCTCTCCCTCTCTCCCTTCCTCCCTTCCTCCCTCCATCTCTTCCCTCCCTTCCTCTTTCCTCTCTCCCCTCCCTTCTTTCTCTCTCTATTTCTTTCTCCCTCTCTTCCTCCCTCCCTTCAATCTGGCTTCAAATTCAACATTTTAGAATTTATGTGTCTTTCAAATTTCTCATGGACACTTTGGGTTTTAGTCTTTGTTTTCTCTAATATATTCACAGGTTTTAAAGACTTGGGCTTCAGTATGTGTGCACATGCGTGCGTGTGTGTGTGTGTGTGTGTGTGTGTGTATGTGTGTGTGTGTGCATGTGTGTGTGAGAGAGAAAATATAAGGGAACACATATAGAGGTGGTCACTATATGTATCCCCTCCCATATTTTTGTGTCTATTTTTATGCTTTCAAGAAAAAATTAACTTTGAAGCTATTTATTGGGATCAGTATATTTGTAGGATGAGTAAATTTTCTTGTGGAACATAAAATCTTTAACATGGTTCTAATACCATTGCCTGTGAATTTCCCTAGCTCCAACAGCTGAAAAACATTTTCACCTGTTAGAGACCATTAATCCATTAATAATCTCTCTCTTTCTCTCTCCCCTTTCCCTCGTCTTTGTCTCTCTCTCCCTCTCTGCTTGATTTTCATTGCTCTATCCCTGGAATGTATTTGCTTCTTTCCAAAAGTCACTTCAAATCAACACATATTCTTTAAGAGGCTAAAGAATCCTAGGTACTGTCAGGTGGAGGAATAGGAAAAAGACAAAGATGTAGTACAATGAAGTTACCACCTAGGTCACAAAGACAGAGGACTCAAAGTCAGTCTCAGTTTTTGCTCATGTACATCAGCAGATATGCAGGAGAGGTGGATGTAAGTCTCCTCTTCCAGGATGTGTGCATCCTAAGCTCAGTGTTGCAGCCAGGAATCCTGAACTGGTGCAGGAGCCCACAGAGAGCTTTCCTCTACATTGGAAATAACTGGAAAGGGATTATGGGGACCACAGTGTCCCCCAAGGAAACCAACCCTGCCTAGAATCTGGTAGTGGCATTTCCAATGATAAAATCAAGAAAGTGTAAGGCTATTAAACATTTTGAGTCTCTTTCTAAATGCCATAGGGAATTGGGTGGTGGGAATTGACCTGCAGCATATGGTTTTGCCAGCTGTATCATTTATTTATTTATTTATTTAATTTTTTTGCTCTTTGGGTCACACCCATCTTTGCACAGGGGTTACTCCTGACTCATGCACTCAGGAATTACTCCTGGCGGTGCTCGGGGGACCATATGGGATGCTGGGATTCGAACCTGGGTCTGGCTGTGTGCAAGGCAAATGCCTTACCTGCTGTGCTATCGCTCCAGCCCCTAGTTTTCTTTTCCTGATATCACCTGAACCTGCATCCCAACTACCTTTGATTTTCTGCTGCTCACAAGCTTTGCAGTCCCAATTCTTTCCCATATTTTAGACTGTCCATTTATTTTGAAAGGTGGTTTTTTTTTTTTCAGAACAAAGAGAAATTTGAAAAACTGCTTCTATACGATGTGAAGGGTATGGAGAACGATAGGCCAGTGTGAGGGGACTAGAGAGACTTTTCTTGAAATGAACTAAAACTGCTACTGACTTCTAGAACCAGAGGCTATATCCTTCAGTAAGAAACACACACACATACACACACATAACACACACACAGACACATTCATGAAGTGTATGGGAAGCTGTTGGAAGATGGTCTTGAAAGAAAACACATTTTGAATTCAGCTGGGAAAGTAAAAAAATGAATAAATAACCATATTGGATGGCATGCATATTAACAATCTCAAGCCATATGCTAGAGCTATAAGGCCAATTTAATGGCCCAGTTGCAGCAAAATTAAGAGATTAAGAGCTAAAGCCTCAGAGCAGGGTAAGCAGACCAGTGGTTGGGGGATAGTGGTGGTTAGCTAGGCCTCTTAGCTGTCCAGATGAGCAATGGGGGTATTATTAGCTGATTTCCTCAAAGTTGTTCCCATTAAGCCCCTGAAGAAGTGCTAGAGTAAAATGAAAGATGAGATGTACCAAAGGAGAAAAATCCATAGAGAGGACAAATGGAAAAACCACAGAAATCACTATTTAGGCAGAACGAGGAGACAGGCCTTATTATTCTTCTACCCTAGTTGAGATTTATATTATTAATGGCTCTGTTTATCCAGTGCCTACTTTTCCTTGTTTCGTGAATTTAGCACTTATAAAAAAGAGAGTTATGCCTAGCGAGCACAGACGCTTAACAACTTTCTGTGATGTGTTGTCAACAAATCCATCTAGGGGAAAAAACACCGTCCACCAGGACTAATTGGCACTGCCAAACTCTGCTTAGGTCAAAGCTGATTTTGAATTTCTACACCAGATTTCAGAGCAACCACCCTATTGCCTGTAGCTACTGTCTCTTCTTTCTATATTTCGGCATGGTATTTATTTTGACATTTTAATAACGCAGGTTTGAGCATGAAGTGATCTCTGCTGTTTTATGGGGGCTGTGGTTTCTACACCCTGAGAATCATTTAAATGAAACTCTTTTGTATCTGGAGAAATTGATGATGATGCTTAGTAAATGCATTTCAAATGCATTGTTATACATGTAAATAATTTGCCCTCTGGTGGATAATGAATAAGGCCACTGACTTTGGCAGCTGTACTCTTTTCATACTCATCATAGCAGCCCAGGGTCTGTGAATGATAGATATGTAAAAATATTCCCAATAATGGCTGATTAGAATGTGCTATAAATTTGAGACCAGCCATTTCCTTCTGAAGTGCTGGCTTAACTGAATTTAACAGATTAGTGTCTTCTTTAAGAGTTGGAAGCCTAAATGCCTTCAGGGGCCAGCTAGGTAGCAAACATGTATAAACAACCTAGTTTCAGAAAATAAGTATTAGAGCTTGAGGAGAAGGAAACATGTGATACCCAAACACCTTCAAATTCAAACAGTAAAACAGAAACAAAAAGTTGTCTGGCTACAGGTCATGTCTGGAAGCCAGAACAGGTTCTTATGGCCAGCCCTCTAAAATTTGATTATACCTTAGACTAAACCATTTGTGTGGGAACAGCCCAGACTAGAGTGGGCTTCATCATAGTAGATGTTATCAGTTAATGTTTGCTAGACAACGGACTGTTTATTTCTAAGAAAAGATGGCTTGATGATGTTCATCAGAGATAAGCCTCTCA